TTATGAGACTGTCACACGAGACAATATCAAAAGCCTTAATAAAGTCAAGATATACCACATCTACGGCTTCCCCTCTATCCACAAGGCTTGTTACCCTGTCAAAGAAAGATATTAGGTTGGACTCAATATGTTCTTGACAAATCCATTCTGACTGTTACTTATCAGCTTATCATCATCATCTAGGTCAGGGGTGGGCAAACTTTTTGGACCGAGGGCCACATCAGGGAACAGAAATTGCATGGGGGGGGCCATGAATGCTCATAAAATTGGAGTTGGGGTTCGGGAATGGGTGAGGACGCTGGCTGGAAGTGTGGGCTCTAGGGTGGGGCTGGGGATGAGGAGTTTGGGGTGTTGGAGGGTGCTCCAGGCTGGGATCGAGGGGTTCAGAGGGTGGGAGGGGGATTAGGGCTAGGGCAGGGCTGTGGGAGGGTGAGGTCTCTGGGGTGGCGCTGGGGATGAGACGTTTGGGGTACAAGAGGGAGCTCCGGGCTGGGATTGAGGGGTCTGGAGGGGGATCAGGGCTAGGGCAGGAGGGTTGGGGCACAGGGAGAGGGTCTGGGGTGCAGGCCCCGGGCGGCCCTTACCTCAAGCAGGTCCAGGGAACAGCGGCATATCCCCGCCCCGGCTCCTACGCAAGGCGCAGCCCGGCGGCTCTGCACATGGCCCCGTCCGCAGGCGTCGCCCCTGCAGCTCCCATTGGATGAGGTTCCCAGCTCTTGGGGTGGGGGGAGCGTGCAGAGGGGAGGCCCCTGGCTGCCCGTTATGTAAAGCCTCCGATCAAACGCCATTGTAAAATCTAACTTGTATCACTAAGTTCTGCAACCTTTTTGCAGATTTTGTAACTTCAGGTTTCAGAGTAGCAGCCATGTTAGTTTGTATCTGCAAAAAGAACAGGAGTGCTTGTGGCACCTTACAGACTAACACACTTATTTGAGCATAAGCTTTCGTGGGCTGTAGTCTCTAATTTGTTAGTCTCTAAAGTGCCACAAGCACTTTTGTTCTTTTTGTAACTTCAGTTATTGTTAACATAACCTTTTAAGTTTTGTAACCTTTGTAAGGTCTATAACCTTTTCAAATTACCACTTGTATGAACTTCCAAGCTTTGTAATATCCCATCACGCAATCCGAGAGTGTGAACGAGGGAGCGCGTGGGGAAGATAAGGGAGTGTGAACAAGGAAGTGTATGTGGGACTGGGTGGAGAGGAACTATAAGGAGAAAAGAGCTCGGAGACAGGAGCCAAGTGTGTCTGATATAATCTGCCCTGAGAACGCAATCATGGGGTGCTGTAAAGAAAAGAAGAACCTGGTATGCATGAAAGAAACTGATCTGGGAATGCTTCTCGGTGACAGACTGATCTGGGAATGCTTCTCGGTGACAGACTGATCTGGGAATGCTTCTCGGTGACGGACACAGAAGGAAAACTCAGTGTACGTGACAGGAGCCACTCAGTTCCAGAAAAAGGAAGAAGGCATGCACACAAGCTGCTGCTCCTTGACCTGCTCACCAGCCTGGATTCATGACCGCAGGCGGACACACCAGATCTACCACACTTTGGCTTCTCAGCTTCCACGCTGTCTCTGGTAACTCTCTACCTGTGTGCGTGTGTGGGTGCATGAGGGTATGAATGCGGTGAATGTGTGCGTGTGGATAAGCTCCATCTCTTTTCTATCTGATGCAACAGCGGCATCGTAATAAAACTAATACAAGTGTGACCCTGGGTTGGTTTTTAGGGGAACTGAGGTAACAGCCCCTACGTGTAGGAGCCAGAAGGGGGGCCATGCCTCTGCTTCTGGGAGCTGCGTGGCACAGCCCCCAACCCCTGCTCGATGGCTGGAGAACAGGAGGGGGCCAAGCTGCTGCTTCCAGGAGCCACATGGAGTGTCCCCAGCGGGAGCTCAAGGGCTGGATTAAAATGGCTAGCGGGCTGGATCCGGCCCGCAGTTTGCCCATCCCGATCTAGGTGTTTACACGATTGCTTAATAATTTGTGGGGGGAGGGATAGCTCGGTGGTTTGAGCATTGGCCTGCTAAACCCAGGGTTGTGAGTTCAATCCTTGAGGGGGCCACTTAAGGATCTGGGGCAAAAATCAGTACTTGGTCCTGCTAGTGAAGGCAGGGGGCTGGACTCAATGACCTTTCAGGGTCCCTTCCAGTTCTATGAGATAATAATATATGGAGATATACCTATTTGCTCCATTATCTTTCTGGGTACTGAAGTTAAGCTGACTGGTTTGTAATTCCCTGGGTTGTCCTTATTTCCCTTTTTATAGATGGGCAAATATAGTGCCATTTTCTAGTCCTCTGGAATCTTTCCCATCTTCCATGACTTTTTGAAGATAATCACTAGCAGCTCAGATATCTCCTCAGTCAGCTCCTTGAGTATTCTAATAAATCCTTCTGTTTTAACACTGGCTTAGTCACTCTATAGTCAGGAAGTCAGGGCTCCATTGCTCCCTTTGGGTGTGTAAGTCTTCCCCAGGTGTCCAATTTGAGTGGACTCACTGAGGGAAGCTCACAGAGTTAGCAGGGGTGCTAAAGGCTCTGAGGTTCAGTCCCAGGAGGCGGTGAAGCCACGGGACTTACCCCAGTGAGAGAGCATGCCCCTAATGGAGTCAACACAGTAAAGGGGTCATTCCAGGGACTAGTCCAAGGCTGTAAAGAGCCCTGTGAATCTATGACAGCCCCACCAAAGGCCCCTGAATTCCCCACTTTCTGCAGAACACCCAACCTCAGGGATAACGCCCTCCCTTCCACATGCACCCTCAGCCCCATCCTTGCTGCCAAATACCAACAAGCCCCTTGCTTTGACTCTGCACCCCCTTCCTCCTTCCTTCCCTCAAGACACCCTCAGCCCTTTTAGAGATCCTGCTCTTGGCCCATCCTCACCAGATACATCCTCCCCTATGCACACCCTCACCCTTCCTTCACCAGAAAGACACCCTCATCCCCACCTCCCTCCCTTCAGATCCTCTCTCCACCCATTCAGAAACACCTTCCACCATCCGCTCCCAATCCAATCCTGCCTAGAGCCACTTTCAGCCCCAGCAGAGACCACCTATGCATCCGAAGAAGTGAGGTTTTTACTCACGAAAGCTTATGTCCAAATAAATCTGTTAGTCTTTAAGGTGCCACCAGACTCCTTGTTGTTTTTGTAGATACAGACTAACACTGCTACCCCCTGATACTTGACACCATCACTACAGACACTCCTAGCCGTCCCAGACACACCCACCATAACCCAACCCCTCTCTCACCAGTAAAGATCCTCCTCTCTCTAACTCAACACAAGCACTGTTCTCTTCAAAAAAGACTCCATAATTTCAGAAACCTGCACTCTACCCCTCCCTTCCCTAGAACGTAGCCCAGTGGGTAGAGAACTGAACTAGACTCAAAAGACTTGGATTCTATTCCCAGATCAGCTACTGACCCGGGGGCCTAACTTCAACTCTGTGCTTCAGTTTCCCCATCTGTAAAATGGGGGATGACACTGACCCTCCTTTACAAATCTCTTGAGAGCTACTAATGATAAGAGCTAAGTAAGGATTAACATTAGCACTAACTCAACCCTCCCCCAGATACCATCAGCCCACCCACCCCCACAGAGCTCCCAAGCCTCACCCTCTATAGCAGAGGTCAACAATCAGTAGATTGCCATATCTGGCTGCTAAAAGTCCGGTGGCGCAGCGGGGCTAAGGAAGGCTTCCTACCTTCCCCGGCCCCACACTGCTCCTAGAAGTGGCAAGCATGTCCCTGCGGGGGGGGGGAGGAGAGGGGGAGGGTCAGGGGGTCTCCACACACTGCTCCTGCTTGCAAACACTACCCTGCAGCTCCCATTGGGCAGGAATGGGGAAATGCAGCCAATGGGAGCTGTGGCGGCAGTGCCTGGAGAGATGGGCAGCACACAGAGCCGCTTGCCATGCCCCCCCCTCCAGGGGGCACAGGGCAGGGACGTGCGGGCAGCTTCCAGGAGGGGCGTGGGGCCAGCACCCTGTACTCCCTCCTGCACCCCAACCCCCTGCCCCAGCCCTGAACCCAAACTACCTCCCAGAGCTCACACCCCTAACCCCCTCCTGCACTCCAACCGTCTGGCCCAAGCTCAACCCAGAGCCCCCTCCCACACTGCAAACCCCTCCGCCCCAGCCCAGAACTTGCTTCCCCTCCGAACTCCAACCCCTTGCCCCAGCAAGTGAGTGATGGTGGGGGAGAGCGAGCAACAGAGGGAGGGGGGATGGAGTGAGCAGGGTGGGGCCTCAGGGAAAGGGCAGGGTAGATCCTAGGTTGCACTTAAATTCAAAAAGTGATCTTGTAAGTTAAAAGGTCTGAAACCACTGCTCTATAAAGACCACCCTTCTCTTCCCCTATGGATAAGCCCTCCCTCCAGGAACCGTCAGCCCCACCAATCCGTACAGAGAACCCCCCCCCCAACCCCAAACACTCCAACCTGACCCTCTTCTCCCTAACTCACCCCACCCCCATAGAGACAGCCCGCCCCACCATATACCCCGCCCCTCAACACCACCCTCCTCCGCTCTACCCGCCGCCGCCATCGCCATCCCTCCCGCCAGACCGCCCCCTGCCAGAGACATCCCCAGCCTCCGCCCCTCCCTCCTCAAAGGGCCCCTCCCTAAACTCCTGCTTCCCCTACCCCCTCAGGCTCCCCCACAGACACCGCCCCGCCCGCAGCCGCCTTCACCCTGCCCGAGGCCCCCGCCCAGCGCCGCAACAACTCACCAGCTTCACTCGCTGCTGCAGCACCTCAGCCACCGCCGCTCCCGCCCAACCGGCCACCCACCGCGCCTGCGCAAACACCCCTTCCTCTTCCGGGCCACGCCGGGACGCGCGCCTCTTCGCGCCCCATATAACCATAGAGACTAGGCGGCGCTATATACAGCCCTTCCAGGGGCGATCCAGCCACATTTTTAACCATAGAGTACAGGGTCACTCTTTCTAGGCTACATCCGCTCTATGAGTCCTGACAGCCCTAGCGCCCTCCTAGGGACGCTCCAGCCACATTTGAACCACAGAGTTCAGAATCTACACTCTAGCCAGTTGAAAACTCGATGGTACCCACTAATCCTTCCGCCGGGAGTAACCAATGGGCGGGGGCCAGGCTCTGACGCCACCTGTTGTCGGTGGGGCTGGCCCGTAACAACCCTTCCATCCCATAATAACGCCCCCGGGCTGCCCCGTGCGTTAGCTGGGCCGCGAGGGGATCAGGGGATACCGGGGCAGGGCGAGGAGGTGCCCGGAAGTGGGTCAGGAGCCGGAAGCGAGCGGAACACCCGGAAGTGGAGTGGGGGAGCTCAGGAGGCGGAAGCGGTTGACTCGACTCAGTCCCATGTGGAGAGAGGTAGGGACGGGAGGCTCCAGCGGAGGCAGTGGGGAGGCGGCAGGGCCAACCCCCGTCCTGGGGAGAGGGGGAGGCGGCAGAGACACACACACCAGCTTTCTCCCCCCCGGGTGTTAGGGCAACAGGAAACCCCCCGCCCCCAAAACGGCGCCCCCCTCCCCCCCGGTGACATGGAATAGCCCTGGAGGGGACCTGGTCCTCGCGTCTGGGCGAGGAGATGGAGAATCAAATGGGACTAATCTCTGCGATGGGGGAGGGGGTAGGACTCCTGGGTTCCAGCCCAGCTCTGGGAGATGTGTGTTGGGGGGGGTCTAATGCTTAGGGCAGGGCTGGAATGAATCTCAGCATGGACTGATGATGCAGGCATTATCCCCAACTTTTTAAGTGAGGGAAACTGAGTCACGGAGGTGACTCATTCACTCGACCCCATTCGTCTGTCTCTGACTCCAAGGGAACCATAACAGGGATATGGCACAAAGTGGCTGGATCAACCTCTTCTTGGTTCCCATGGTCGCTGTGGGGTCTTTGCTTCATTCTCTGATGTGGATGAGATTTTATCTGGGAAGCTGATTCAGCCCTGAAGAATTAATCTCCCTCATGCAATCATCAGCAGAATTGCTGGCAATCTTTCCATGGCCCAGTGGGATGGTGTATTCAATTGGCACTCAAAATGCCTGGGATCTATTCCGTGTTATGCTCCATCTCTGCCTCACTTTCACCTCCCACCGTTTGCCCTGTGTTGTCCCTTCCCCTCCCTGTGCCCCAGTTCCCTATTGATGATCCTGACCTCATGTTAAAGCACTTTGAGATTCACGGCTAAAACATTCTCAGTGGAATTATTACTACGGGAGACAATGTGAGGAGCCTGGCCTGGAATTTTCCAGCAGAATGGAGGAATCTCGGAGCTGCCTCATTCCCTGAGTGAGGGAGTCTCAGTCCATTTCCATGAGCCACAGAGTTGTCTTTGTTCCTCTTCCAGTGTGTCCAATGCTGGTGGATGCCTCGAGGACTGAATTCAGTGCTGGATCCTCAACTATCAGAGACGGACAGCCTCTTTTTATCCCCCAAACAGGTACCTTGCAGGTAGTGGTGCTGCTGGCTTCCTGGGAGAGCAGACAATCTCTGCCCCATCCTGGGGGGAGTAGAGAAAGTAGATGGGGCATCTCTAGTAACCTTTTCTGATAACCTAAGATCAAGGGGACATCCTTGATGGATAGGCAGTGTGGTGTAGTGGGGAGGGCGCTGGCCAGGGATCCAGGGCTGCCTGGGTTCTGTTCAGCCCCCTCCATAACCCTTCTCGCTGTGCCTCATTTTCTCCTGCCCTTTGTCTATTTAGACTGCAAGCTCCTCAGGGCAGGGACTGTCTCTCACTTTGTGTCTATGCAGTGCCTGACACAATGGGGCCTTGATCTCAGTTAAGTGGCTGGCAGGCACTCTGTGCCTACACATGGTACTGGGTGCTGTACAGACCCTGATGCCATCATGCCTGGCGGTACACAGACACTTAGTGAGAAGCAGTCCCTGCCCCAAAGAGCTTGTACTCTATCTAGACAAAGGGTCTGTGAGGGGGGGAGGGAAAACTGAGGCACTGAGTGGTAAAAGGACTTGCCCAAAGTCAGCAACAGAGCTTGCAACAGAACCCAGATTTCCTGGCTCCCAGCCCAGTGCCCTTCTCACTGGGGAACTCTTTGCCTTTAGAAGCTTATTTGATGTTGGGAAGACGCAACAAGAATCTTCTCTCTCTACTGTTCCTTCTCTCCTTATAGCCTTCCAGAGCACGTGTGCCTTCCAGCCATTCAGCAGTTCACCCGCCCAGCAGGGATCCTGTCCCTGAGGGCTAACGCACCAGGATGTCCCAAGCAACCAAACGCAAGCATGTGGTGAAAGAGGTGTTGGAGGAATACGTGGTGCCATCTCCTCAACAGCAGATTGTCCGGGTGAGAGAGGGAGCAACCCTGCTTAGCTGGGCTCCACTGGGACCTTGGGGGTTTTCACTTTCCTTTGCAGCATGGGGTGTGGGTTGCTTGCGGGGAGCATCTGGGCATGTCTCATCTCAGCACTTCCCTGCCATCATATCCCTTGAGCACTGGTGAGCTCCTTGCTTCAGAGGAAGGCAAGAAAACCCCCGAATATATCTGTCCAATTGTGCATTGGGGAAGAAAATCCCTTCCTGCTGGCTGAAGGCAACTGCAGTCCAATCTCATGCTTCAGGGCTTCAGCCAGTCATTGTCTTGCTGGGTAAGCAGACCAGGTGGAGTGTGAGCCATCTGAAAACCCTACCTGGGCAGAAGATTTCAAGGCCAAAATTGGAGCCTGATCATCTAGTCTGAACTCCTGCATAAGTCAGGCCATGGAATACCCCCCACACACACACACACAGCCATTCCTGCATGCAGCCCAGCTCTGGTGGTTGAGCTAGAGCATCACTTTGAGACAGGCCCTAATCTGTAGGTGCTCAGTGCTGGAAAATCCACTCCCTCGGGAAGCAGCTTCTGTGGTTAATCCCCTTTGTTCCTTCTGCCAGGTCCTGGGGACCCCAGGAAACAACCTCCATGAGGTGGAAACAGCCGAAGGGACTAGATTCTTAGTGAGCATGCCCACAAAATTCCGCAAGAACATCTGGATCAAACGAGGTGAGTACAGTGCAGCTGGGTTCATGGCACCTCTTGAGGGGAAAGGCCCCATATCCCACCTCCCGTGGGCACAGATTGGAATCCTCACCCCAAAAGAGGAAGAAGCAGCTCTGTGTCTCATTCCCCGCCCACCAGTCCCCCCATTCTGGGGCTAGATGAGAGCTGGCACTCCCTAGAGGGGAAAGGCTCTGTATCCCATTCCCCATCTCCTAAACCAGCCAAACTCCCCACTCTGTCCCTCTATCATTGCAGGTGACTTTCTGCTGGTGGACCCCATCGAAGAGGGCGAGAAGGTGAAGGCTGAGATCAACTTTGTGTTGTACAAGGACCATGTGCGGTACCTAAAGAAAGAAGGGCTCTGGTAGGAGTTGGAGGCGTGGGGGAGGATGCGTGTGTGTGTGATGAGCCATGAGCTCCCAGACTCCCTGCTCTTGCCCCTCTAGCACCAAGGTGCTGGAGAAAAGAGTTATTGGGCATTGGCCCAGGCCTGAGTGTCCCTCCTGAGGCTGAGATTTCATCATCTGGTCCCTTCTGCTCTTTACATCCCTCCCTGAGCCTTGCTGCTTCCCCTCAGCAGTGCCCAGGTGTCACCAGCCCTGCCTGGGCTGTCAAGAGCACGGTCCATCTTGTAGGAAGAGGAGCCTGCAGGACATCTTCCCCCCTCTGAAGCAAGTGGGCCAGTCTTGGGGAATCTAGAAAGCTCCCAGCCTCCCTGGCATAGATTTACTCATGACACTCAGCATGGAATCCCAGTGCCTCTTGCTGTGGAATTTCTCCTCACAGCCCTGCCCAGTAAGGAAGGATTAGCCCCGTTTTACAGATGAGGAAACTGAGGTACAAAATACACAAAGCAACTTGCTCAAGGGCAGTAGCAGAACCAGGAACTGAACCCTGCTCTGCCCCATGCTGGGCTAGTGGCCCTAGACCACCCTAATGGAGAATCCACCCCAGCCCTGGATAAGCTGTTCCAAGGACTAGTTTCCTTCACTGCTCAATTTGGGCTTCAGTTCTGAGCCTAGGGTTGATTCCCACCACTCGTGAGCTGTAGGAATAGAAGCAGAGCAGTTAGCTCCATGGGCATTGGATGCAGATGGGGTGGTAGTTCTCCAGCAGGGGGCCCGTTGCTTTGGCAGCAGATGCTGTTTATAATCAGTTTGGGGCTGCAGTGATCTTGTCTCAAGAAGAATGTTGATAAATTGGAGGGGGCAGAGAAGAGCCACAAGAATATAAGGATTGGTGACAGACTCCAGAGCTCAATCTTAGCTTAAGGGGTGACTTGAGCCCCGTCTATATGTACCTGCAGGGGGAACAGACATTTGACAATAGGCTCTACAATCTAACAGACAAACATTGAACAAGAGCCAATGGTTGGAAATTGAAGTTAGACAGATGCAGATTGGAAAACAGAGGGTTCATTGGAACAACTGACCAAAGGCTGTGGTGGATTCAACAGTGCTGGCAATTTTTAAATCCAGCTCAGAGGTGATTTGGAAAGACTTGATGTAGTTTGAATAGAAATTAATTCAGAGCAGTCCTAGAGCCTGTTGTACAGGAGTCAGATTAGATGATCCCTTTTCTGGCCACCTGATCTAGGACTCCTTAACATGAGGGAGGTAGGGATGGAGTAAAGGAAGTTTCCCTCTACAAAACTTTTGAAAACTAACTTGGCCAAAACCAAGTCTCAGGTTCTAGTTTAACTGAAAAACTGGGAAAAACTGTCAAATGAGGTTTTGCCACCAGTTTGGGTTTTGATGCAAAGTAGTTTGTCTGTCGATTGCGTTGGTGGGAAAATCAGTCTGTGCTGGGGTTACTAGTGGCCCCTTTTGCACAGCAGGGGCTGTGTTGGCTGAAGCAGTCCCATGCCCTGGGCAGGGGCTGGAGTGGAGAGGAAAGGCCCCATATCCCATTCCCTGCAGTCCTCCCTAGAAGGGAAATGTCAGAGCCATTGTCTCAAAGCCAGGGCTGTTCTATCATCTCATGCCTTTTCCCCCCCACAGGCCTGAGGCCTTCTCTGACACTGCAGAAAGTCAGCCCAGCTCTGAGGCCAGGTGAGTGGGAAAGGAGGGGGATGGCTGCTTAACTGTCCAGGAATAAATTAGACTGGAAATTACATTTCCTCCCTATGAGGGAGGTTCTGGAACAGCCTCCCCAGGAGATGGGGGCAAACAGCCCAATGAGTTTACAGAGGAAACTGGATAAGGGTCTGTCTGGGATTCTATGACGGGGTGGCTGCGATAGCGGGGATGGGGCTAACTGGTCCAGAAGGTCCCTTCCAGTCCTAAGTAACCCAGGTCTCCAGTCTTAGGCTAGTGCCCCTATCAGGGGGCAGCTGCCCCAAGGAGGAAGCCAGGTGACGGCTAGGGCCACAGGCCTAGAACTGACAGCCACCCCTTTCTGCAGCAGGGAAGGGGAGCAAACGGCTGCCCGCTCCTCTGGGGAAGAGGACTCTGACGATGACAGTGACCTGTTTGTGAACACGAACAGACTGCGCTACGGCTGCACAGAGAGCGAGGACGACAGTGAGGAGGAGGCGGCAGCAGTGGCCAGTGACCAGGATGAGGAAGAAAAATAGCGACCCAGGGCAGGAAAGCTGATCTAGCCTCCTAAACACCTCATGCAGGAGGAGCCTGATCCAGCAGGAAGGAGACTGCTTTCTGGGGCCTGAACTCACATCCACCAGCCTGGGGAATGCTCCAGCTGGCTTGGAACTGCCTCAGTGCTGCCCCCTGCTGGGGACACATTTCTTCCCTCCATCACCTCTACTGTCTGAGCCATGAGTTGCTGCAGCATCCAGCTCACTAGAGATGAAGGTGCTGGGCCTGTTGTGCCTAATGCATGGTTATTTCACTGTTCACCCAGCCGACTCGGGGGGGAAAGAGTGGCACTGCTCCTTGGGGCAGAGGGAAATGGGGTTCTAGGCAGCAGTGCTGCTTGAAGCTGTAAAGAGGGGCTGGGGAGGAGTAAAGTTATAGCAGCTGGGAGGCCTCAAAGATGGAGCAGCCCAGCGTCAGCATCCCTTAGCCCCTTTTAACGGGGGACTGGACTGTGCCCTCTGCTCTAATGCAGGCTCCTTGGGCAAAGCACTGGGTGCTGTCTGTCCTAGACACTATGGCTGTGTAATAAGCTGTCTCCCCTCTGCCTTATTCAATAAAGACTTTCCCACAGGCAGCCAGTCGGGTTGATTTGAAACTGCACAAGAATGAGCAGCCTGGTCGCGGGCCAGCTGGTACGCAGGGGCAGGTTCTGGGCTGCAGGGGGTGGCAGGTCGAACTCACTGCTATCCACACTGATCTGTGCAGAGTGAGGATATAGCTAACAGCCCATGGCTGCTCCTCCAGCCGAGACACGCCTCCCCCCACTGCAATGCTGGTGAGCAGTACAGCACAGTCACCCTGTTCAATAGAACTAGATGTTTGGCAGAGACAGGTCAGGCCTCCCTGGGACTAGGAAGTTGGTCTGGATAGTACTTGGGAGCCTCAGTCATGGGGCAGGGTGCTGTACAAACACAGCAAGAGCCAGGCCCTGTCCCCCAGGCTTACAGACCCACACCCTAGGAACTAGCATCTCCAGACAGGCAAGAACAGGGCCCAGCTCCCAGACAGGAATTGGTGCTTTTAATGAGTGATTTGGTTTGACATCAATACAAAAACAAGGTTTTGGTGCCAAGAGTCACAGCTTCTCAACTATATACACAGCCCTGCCCCTGCCTGTGGGGGCGAGGGCAGGTCAGCCTGTTTTGCATCCAAGACATCAAGAGTTGAAGGGAGAGTTTAACAAACTGCACCCCAGCATCTTACTTGGGCACAGGCAGGAGTCCCCTCTGTGGCACAGGGCAGAGTGACACTACTCCAGCAGATGCTGAGAGGTGGAAGCCACTAGAGGGAGCACTACCATGGGAGGTCCTCCCACCTTGACTTCACAACTTGTAGGTATATGGTGAGAGGAGGGCAGGACTGGACCATTTTCCCCAGGAGAGTAGAGACTCTCCACCCTCAGAACCCAGGATGCACATGGTCAGACCAGATGGGAACTGACAGGCAGGCGGCATCTGCTTCCAGGATCAGTGCTGGCAGTTCACTTGGTGATGGTGTTTCTGTTGAAGCAAGGAGAGAGGGGACATGAGTGAAGGCCCAGGATCCAGGGGATGTTTCCCAGGAGCACTCAAGGCAGGGGGAAGGGGTCATTCCTAACAGGGGTACTGGCTACAAAAGAGGCCGTGCACTCCTAGATTAGCCCCATTAGACTAGGGCATGGTTCTCCCAATACTCCCTTCCCAACCACCTGCCTGGGGATTTTAGGCCCCAGGCCCTGGCTTCCCAACACTGGGGAGGTCAGACAGACCAACCCCATGACAAGTGGGAGGACGGGGTACTTACGCGTTCATGCTCTTGCCGCTGCCGCTCAGCACAATGTAAGGCGTCTTCTGGGCCTTCTGCTTCTCCTGCAGCAGTGCCACCGTGCCCAGGGGTGTGTCGCTGGAGCTCATCTTCTTCAGCAGCTTAGGGGGGGGAGAGAAGAGAGCCTGAGTCAGTACAGCCCCCTGCAGACTTTCACCAGCTCAACTGTGAGCCCAGGCTACCAGCCCATCCCATCCCACCTGCACCCCGGGATCCGCACCCAGTGCTGGGACACAGCCACCAGGGGGGTGTAGGGGCTGTTCCCAGGCCATCATACAGCAAAGGAAAAACTCCCCTAGTCCAGTTTAATGCCCCCTGCTGTTTAGAGGAGACAGTTAACCTAAAGAGGGATTTGGCCAGGACCCCAGGCTTAACAGCCTGACTCTAAGGATGGAGCAAAACTATTGATGACTGCAAATAATCAGCACTTTTCTGATGCAGAAGCAGCAGCACAGCGCCCCCTAGTGAGGCACTGGAGCCAGCGCTGACCACAATGGGAGAGCACCCCACCCTATGCTGCTCCTGTGTCCCCCTAGGCCCTCCTCAGGTTTCCCATCCATGCCTGATTGCTTGGCCAACAGGATGAAGCTAGACCTGCCCCCACAGCCGCCCCTCTTGCAGCATCCTGCAGACTCTGCCCATGGGGAGCTCCAGCCATGTCACCCACTCACCGCCTCCTCATCCAGCTTCTTCATCCTCCTCTCTGTCTTCATCTTCCCGGAGCCCTTCCCATGGAAGCGGTGAGAGAGCTGCCGGAAGGCCTGGGGAGAGAGCACACAGAGTGGGGGTCAGCACTGACTGTCAGCCCCACCCGGGGGCCTCCTGCCACCCACTCAACACAGCACCAGGGCTGGGGAACCCCCAACGCCCTTCCCCATCTGGCTGTGGCAGCAGCCCTGCCACAGAACTCCCCCTTCACCATCACAGCTCCCAACCAACCTTCCCACCCCTGAGAAACAGCCTCCTTTCACCATCACAGCCGCTCCCCATGGGGGGGGAATGGAGGGGAGAGACATGGCTGCATCACCGCTGCCCCTCCCCTCCCCTGGCTCGCGCCCCACATGTCCCTTCCCACTACCTCCTTTGGTGTCAGCTTGCGACCCGTCTCGTCCACATATTCAATCTTGACATCAGGCTTGTAGCCATCCTTCTCCTTGAAGTCCTGGGTGAAGCCCCGGTACTCCTCCCGCCGGCTGTACTTGTCATCAATGGCCCTGCAGGAGCCCAACCCAGAAGGTTAGTTTGGTGGTGGTGGGGGGGAGTGTTCTCCCTGCAGTCACTGCTGATCCCAGTGTGGTGCTAGGGGATGCTGTCTTGAACGAGATGCCAAAATCAGGGTTTTTAGCCCTTGGCCACTAATGATCCCCTGGCACTCAGGGGCCTTTCAATGGCATGAGACTTGGGCCCAGGTCTACGATAAAGGGGGGGGAATGGGTGTTACTGGGGGTGCATGACCAGTGTCCACATCACCCAAACCACCAGCACAATAACTGCCCCCTTATTGCCAGTCTCCACTGTGAGACCATGGGCATTCTTCTGGGGTTGGGGAAACCAGCCATGGGGCAGGGCACTGACAGCACCTATTCTGGCAGCAGATCTTGTGGCACCCACTCCAGGCTGCTCTCGTGGTGGCAAGTGCTACAGCCATGGTTAGCACAGTGGGGCTTTAGCTCAGGCAAGAGGCCCAGGCGCCAAGACCCAGAGGTGACAGATCCGACTCCAGCTACCGATGATCTACCCCGGGGCTTTGCCTGCCCCACAAGGCCACTTACATCTTATCCTCGATGCAGTACACAGCTGAGGGCAGCGACTTGTTGGGGGCCTTCACCCTGGCCACCTTCTGCACTGTCGTCTCCAGCAGGCCTGCAGTGAACAGAAGAGGCATGGATCAGGTCCTGCCCAAGGGCAGTGAGTGCTCTGGGAAGCTTCCCCCCCCAAACACCAGCCCCAGAGATCTCAGAGCTGCTGGATCACACAGGGAGAAAGGGACTTTCAGGGGCAGCATGGCCTAATGGGCAGGGCAGTAAACTGGGACTCAGGACTCCTAGGCTCTGTTCCTAGCTATGACACACCTTGGGCACATCAGTTCCCCTCTCAAGGGCTCTGTCCCCCTCCCACCCTTTGTTGGGACTGCCTCGCTGACTGTTCAGTGCCCAGCGACAGGGGCTGCAATCTCTGTAGATCCTGCCTTACTACAAATTAAACAAAGTTCACTCCAGTCACTAAGTACCAGGGAGGGTTTTCAGAGAGGCAATGAGGAGTCGAGCCCTGTCATGAACAGGGAGCCAGGACTGGGAGCACAACAGGTAAGCATGGGAACCCAAGAGGATTCTGGGACGGGGGCTCATCCTGAGTTCCCCACTTACCTTTGTTCTGGCAAAGCAAGAGGGCAGCAGCTAGGCCCCGGTTCACTATGGGCTCCTCGTCCAGAATGGTGGTGGAGGATGCTGAGAACTGCAAAGGGAGGAGACAGGTTCAGGGCTTTGGACCCATCTGTTTAGAGTCCCCTGCAATGCCAGCCTTGGGCTCCACTCCCACAGCTCTGCAGTGCCCCTCAATCCTGACTTGCAGCCCCTCAGGGTTCATTGTGTTATACTGGGGTGTGAGTTGGGGGAAGCTATGAATGCAGTGACTCCTATCCCCACCCACATACCCCTTCCTCAATTGTACTCACATCCTGCTGCTGTTTCTCCTCATCTAGGTTGACCGTGCTCCAGCCGATGTTCTCTTCGCCATCGGAGTCTGACCCTCCATTTCCTGACCTCTCATCATCCCGTTCAAAGTCCTGAAAGCAGAAGAGAGGCCACCCGGGGCATCAGCATGGGGGCACCCCAGCTGCGTGGCTTAGTGGGGCTAGGATCACTGCAGAACATGTGCCCCCAGCTAGAGCCCAGAGCCCCAAAACAGAAGCACTTCTGCCACCGCAGTGCCTCCTGGGAGTGGTAGTTTGGTTGCTTCACATGCCCATTTTCCTTTATAGGCCAGACTACATCTCCCAGGATGCCCCATGGCCAAAGACTCCAATGATGTAGTGCTGTTCTGCACCAGAGGAAAGACCATGGTGTAGGATGGAAACTTTAGTCTGTCCAGGAAGCCCGCCCATAAAGGAAAATGGGAGCATGAGACACCTGGACCAAAACTCCTGTAAGGCACCATGGCAACATATCTGAATCAACCCCCAACCCACTACTATCCCAGCCCTGGACTCTCCTCAAACCCACCCAGCTGTGCTGGTGCCAATCAGTCTCAACCCACAGACCGCTGCTATTGCGGTTCTGGGCTCTTCTCCCCCACCACACTCTGGCAGTGTCCCATAATTCTGACCCACAGCCCTCTGCTCCTGCTAGTTCTGCTGATGCCCCTCCATCTGGGGCAAGTGTCTTCCAGCCCAGTCCACTCTGGGGAAAAGGGGTGGGAAGAATCCCCAGGAAGCCGCACCATGAGCTCCTCCTGGTCCTCACGGTTGCCGGCCAGCCCATAAGTGGGGATCTCGCCCAGTGTGCGGCAGAACTCCGAGGTGGCATTGAAGACTATTGCTCCTTTCCTCTCTAGCTCCTCGTCATCCTCCCGGCTACGGCGCGTCTCCAGTTTCTTGACGATCTCAATGACCTGCTTTGGGAGCAAGAGGGCTGGGTTAGACAGCAGCTGGGCGCTAACAAGGCTGGGGGCTCACGCGCTAAATCAAGGATCACTAGGAGCCCCCAGACTCAGGGCAGCCCCAGCAGGGCAGCTGGACCTGTGTTCAGGGGAAGGGTGTGACTGGGCACCACA